CCGGGCCCTCGCGCCGCCCGCCGCGCGCGCCTACGCCAAGGACGTGAAGTTCGGGCCGGACGCGCGCGCGCTCATGCTGCAGGGGGTCGATCTGCTGGCCGACGCTGTCGCCCTCACCATGGGGCCCAAGGTAGCCGCGCAGCCCCTGTACGGGCCGCCCTGCCCTTGTTGCGGCATGACGGGAGGAGTTCCCTTTATCTGTCTTTAAGGGGGGGGAGTGGCGAGGCGGGCTTGGCGCCAGCAAAATCCCAGGGCCACCCTTTGCTTGGCCTGCTGGTGCAGGTGGCTGTAGCTGCTCTGAGGGGAGCAGCTTCTTGGGAGCCTTTGCCTCTGTAGATAGGAAACGTCTTCATGACTTACCTGCAAAGCCTAAGGGACACACAACCTTTATTTTATTGGCAGCTGTGCCTGGGCTCAGCCATGTGGCTGCTCTTGTTTCCTTTTCTTCTCAGATGACAGGAGAGCAAGGGGGATTCAGCTCTTGCTCAAGGGAAGCCCATTATATTTTTAGTTCTATGCCCATCAGCTGCTTGATTCCATAATTACAGTATGGTAATAATGAGAGGATATTGCCATAGGGTGTAGATTTGGAGGTGGTTTTGCCTTTCCTTAAACCCAGTGAATGACTGTAATTGCATTAATGAAGCAAGGCATTAGCGTGCAGGGTGGACAACTTGAAAACATTCAGATGTTTTCAAAGGCAAATGTATTTTAGTACTTAGTTCCTTTGCCCTTTTCTTTAAAGAAATACGTTGACGTTGCATTTTTTTGATGGAGCCATAGTTCTGTTAAACTTGTAAAAGTCATGATAACAGTAGTCTAATCACAGACTTTGGTTTGTGAGACTAAGTGGCTCAGATATCTGCTCGGACTATGAGAAACAAGTTGGCAGTCTGTCCCTTGATTTCATCAGCTGGTGTCTTCTCATCTTACTCCTTGACCCTTTCGTTTTTCAAATAAAACAAACCTCCCCTTCATATTACTAGCCTCCCCTCCCTTTTCCTTCCAAGTACCTGAGGGGTCCAGGGCTGCTGATCCTGTGAGGTCCCTTGCTGGCCACCAGCCCCTCACCTGGCCCTCCAAGCAGGGGGGAGTGGATAGAATGAGGCAGGCTTCAAAGCATCGTTTCACCTGCCTGCCTGCAGCAGATCACACTGCTTGCTGGGAGATGGATGGAAGGCAGCTGGCAAAGGGACTGCCTGTGGGGATGGGTAGCAGCAGATAATGTTGGGGTAGCTGGGGGAGTTGCAGAGTACCAGATGAGGAAAGAGGGCAGTTACCTGCTCTCAAAGGGGCTTGCTGGGTGGCATGACACCCTTAATGGGATCTTGCAGAATGCAATAAATGGACTAGAGGAACTGAGATTAGGAAATTGGCGGGGATGGGTGAAGGGGAAGCATGCTAGTGGCAGGATGCAGCAGGGGTTTAGAGGCAGTGAAGGGCAAATTAAATGACCTGTGTGGAATGCCATTAAACCTCTTTTTTTCCTGAGCCTTGGGGTTTTCCTTGGTGGGGGAGGAGAAGCTATGCAGAGGTTTGGTTTTAGGCCTCCATTCCTTATCAAACAACCATAATATAGCAGAGATGCTGTGATCTTGCACTTTTAATGCATTCTGTGTTCCTGACGTCCTAGTATTTCTGGGCAACGTGAGGTTGAGATACTGCTAGGCTTCAAGGGCTTGGTCTGGCTGATTCAGAGTACAGATTATCCTGAGTCTCTTGCATTACAGGTGAATGTCTTAACGTCTGGGCTCCTAGCTACTGTGGGTGGGTCTTAGGGTTCTAAATCTTGAGTGGTATTGCATGCATTCTGCTTTGGAGTGAAAGCAAATACCAACTTGATATTCCTTATACAGGGATCCTGGCTTTCTCTGTTTAAAAATCCCAAATTCTCTATTAAAAAATCCCCAAATCCATGTTTTCAGCAATGAAGTACCATTAGTGTGTGAGTGTATTTATAAATATGTTCATAGATTCATAGATGTTCGGGTCAGAAGGGACCTCAATAGATCATCGAGTCCGACCCCCTGCATAGGCAGGAAAGAAGGCTGGGGTTAGATGACCCCCAGCTAGATGGTTATCTACCCTCCTCTTGAAGACCCCCAGGGTAGGGGAGAGCACCACCTCCCTTGGGAGCCCGTTCCAGACCTTGGCCACTCTAACTGAAGAAGTTTTTCGTAAAGTCTAGTCTAAATCTGCTCTCTGCTAGCTTATGGCCATTATTTCTTGTAACCCCCAGGGGCGCCTTGGGGAATAAAACCTCACCAATTCCCTTCTGTGCCCCCATGATGAACTTATAGGCAGCCACAAGGTGGCCTCTCAACCTTCTCTTGCGGAGGCTGAAGAAGTCCAGGGGCCCTAGTCTCTCCTCATAGGGCTTAGCCTGCAAGCCCTTAACCATACGAGTGGCCCTTCTCTGGACCCTCTCCAGGTTATCCACAAAATAAAGTAAAATATAAAATCCATAAAATATATGTTTTATTGATATATTTATAATTTGAAAGAAATATGGAAGCATACCAGTGCCTCAATCATAATAATAAAATAAATACTAACTACCTATATATTTTGGTGTTTAATTTTGGATTTTTATCATGGAAAATCAGAACTCCCCCTAACACTTTTGCTCACCAGGATACAGGTCCAGCTGTGGCTGTCCCCGCTGCTTTATGGCAGTGAGCAGCCCCGATATGCCAATGCCCTGCCTTTGCTGCTGCTCCTCACTCCCAACCCACAGCCCCTCAGTGTGTGAAGGGGAGGGTGGGCTCAGGGGATGTGGGAGGGGGTGGGGTGCTAGATTTCTGCTCCTACAGCAGTGTGCAGGGCTCAAGCTGAGCTGAATGAACTCTGGGCAGAAGCTGCCTCTGCAGCCCAGCAGGTGGGACCCAGCACAGGAGGGAGTGTGGTCCTGCCATGGCAGCCAAGGTGAAGTGCAGTAGCATAGAGCTGTGCTCCCTGCTACTCCTGAGCGGGCATGAGGTGTCTCACCTTGGCAGCTATGGCACCTTGGTGCTCCCTCCTGCACTGTCACACCTCCTGGGTCATGGAGATGGCTCCTGCCCAGAGCTGGTCTAGCCCAGCTGCAGCCCCATGCTCCTCTGTGGGCACAGTTATGAAAAGAGGGGGCACATTGCCTCTCTTCCCTCCCTTCAAAGGAGAAAATGTGCATTTTCCATCACAAATGGAAAACCCAGATCCCTGTAGCTTTTTTGTTTCCCAGCAGTCTAGCAGTAACATACTTGAGCACATGCAGAAAGGGTGAGGTGTCTGTGTAATACTCCTTTTCTGTTACCTGTTAATTTGGTTCAGCTGGTAATTCTTTATAGATCTTTCATCTTTGCTGCTTGATGTCAGAGACTTAACATTTTTGCTTGTATCCATATAGGGGAGAACTGTTATTATTGAGCAAAGCTGGGGAAGTCCCAAGGTGACAAAAGATGGTGTGACAGTAGCCAAGGCAATTGATTTGAAAGACAAATACAAAAATATCGGAGCCAAGTTAGTGCAAGATGTAGCCAACAACACAAATGAAGAAGCAGGAGATGGTACCACTACTGCAACAGTCCTTGCACGTGCCATTGCAAAGGAGGGCTTTGAAAAGATCAGCAAAGGAGCTAATCCAGTGGAAATCAGGAGAGGTAAGAAACATTGTTAGCAGTCACCTTTTTTTTTTCTCTCTCCCTGTCTCTCTGAATGTGACTGGGTTTCAGCTAGCTTGACTCTGCTTGCAGGAGACTAGAGTAACCAAGTCTGCTGGAGGATGATAATTGCCATGCTCCAGCATCATGTGCATCAACATCCCTGCACTGAAAAATGACGGTGGGGCCATTCAAGCCTTAGTTAAAGTGCCCCCAATGCTGTTTTTTCAACGCAGGGTTGCTGATGCATGTGATGCTCCAGGCACTTTAATTAGAGCAGCTGTCTGAGCCACTGTAATTAAAGCCTCCCCACCCGTCCTGGAACACATCTATAAATGTCCAATATGTTTTATGTATTAAAAAAAAAAAGTAATTGGCAGTATAGATATGTGTTCTTGCCTTGTTGGATCATAGTAATACCTTTTAATAAATTGCCGTTTATTTAGTTTTCTAATAAGCCTAATACTTTTTAGTGTGTAACTTTCATAAAAGTTACTATACTGTTATGTGAACAGAATGCTTCCTTTACGCTATATGACTTTACCTTAAGTAGTATCAAAGCTATCTCTGCTTCTCCTTTCCTGACACTTTTGCATGTTTTCTATCAAATATTTAAAAAGTGTATGAACTCCTGGGTTTGTTAATATGATCTGTTTGTAACTTTAGGGGAAAGTCTTGTTTTTCTGCATTCAGCAGTGAATGGTTTTGGTTTATACTCAGCCA